ACCCCGGAGCCCTCTCCCTGGGGGCTCAAGAACGGTGGTGATGCTGACCAGCCATTGAACAGCCGTCCCACCCAGACTCGGTGGCCCACCCTGGACCCCCCGCCTCAGCCCCCAGCAGCAACAGCACCCACCATCCCCCAGGAACTGCAGGAGCGCCAGGTCGATGGCTCGCTTCCAGTGGGACTCCTTCTGCATGGCGATGCCGTAGCCGGTGGTGGCAAAGACCTTGCCGGAGCCAATGGTGACCAGCTTGCAGCCCTCATCCTTGCCTGCCATGTAGTTGAGGACAGCGGCATCATAGATGAAGGCGTCCAGCTTCCTAGGGACAGGCGGAGCCCTCAGGGCAGGGATCGTGGGGGCCAGCACCCAGGAGGGATGGATGACCACAGCCCCTCCCACAGCTCGGGGACCCCACCTACCCTCCTCCTCAGAGAGGCCAGGGGACTCTCTACCCCCAGAGGACACACCCTCTCTGCGCAGCCCTTCTTGTCCCTAAGACCCTAAAAAGGTCACGACCTCCACCTCAGGGCAAGGCCGCACCCTGGTCAGCACCACAGCGGCACACCTGGACCACCTGAGAGCGTCCATTTTTGTTTCCGCTTCACTCTGCCCTAAGACCTCCTCACCGCCCGCCCCCAGGAGTCAGTCCTACAGGACGGCCCAGCCTCACTGTCCCCAACGTGGGTCGCTCAGGCAGGGACGGAGCTGGCCGCTGGGGAGACGTCGGGAGAGACAGGTGAGTGCAGGGCTGAGGACCCACCCCATCTTGAGGCTGGTGAGTGCGTCCTCCACAGAGCGCTGGTTGAACTTGACCATGTGGGTGTGCATGTCCCGGTAGTTGCTGCGAATATTGCGCTCCGTGCTGCCGTTGGGCACTGTGCCGAAGCGAAAGGGTGGGTACTGATCCTGAGGCCGCTGAAACTGCGGGCAGAGGGCGGCCGCTGTCCGTGACCCTCCCCCGAACCTTCCAGGCACCACCTCCCCCACCCCCCAGTCCCAGCCCCATAGTCTGCACTTGAGCAGAATGGTCTTAGATTCTGCTCAGGCCACTCCTGTGGGGAAACTGAGGCCAGGATGAAGAGAGACTTGCCCAAGGCCACTTTGTCAGTGACCTGAGCCATCTCTCCCCTGCCCCCCACCCCATCCCACCTCACCCCACCTCACCAGGCTCCCCAGCTCCTTCCTGCTCTGGCCTCCAGGTCACATTCTACCCACTCTGTCCCGTGTCCCACCCAAGGCCTGCTCCTGCCCCGGGCCTCCCCCCGCCCCCTACTGGCCGTGGCCCCAGAACCTTCTTATCACTGAGGCCGGACACAGTGTCGATATACTGCTCCTGGATCATGAAGGCGGCCAGGTTGGCGGTGTAGCTGGCCAGGAAGATGACAGCAAAGAAAGCCCAGACCAGGACCATGATCTTGCTGGTGGTGCCCCTGGGGTTCTCAATGGGCACCGAGTTGTTGAAGACCAGTGCCCACAGCAGCCACACGGACTTGCCAATGGTGAAGGATGGGCCCCCAGACTCTGGGGGTGAGAGGGTGGGCACTGGGGCTCTTCTTGCCCAGCACAGAGGGGCCAGGTCTCAGCCCACCCGACTCCTCCGCTCTGTCCCCACTCTATCTTGGGTGGGGACCCCCTCCCTGGCCACCCCCACCCCAAGGCAAGTCCGCCCACCCCTCTGAGGTGCTCTGCCCTGCCCCCTCCTCCCAGGCCCGCGTGCGAGCTTACTCTTGCCGCTGGTGAGGTTCCGGTTGTAGCTGACGGGGCTGAAGTACTCGAACATGAAGACAGTGAGGGCCACCACGGTGAGGCACATGACGAACATCATCACCCACACCGAGGGGCTGTAGGGCTCTGGGAACCGAGGGAGGCGGCTCAGCAGCCTGGGCCCTGCCCCTCCCCCCACAGCCCAGAGCACGGGGTGGACAAGTGGGTCCCCATGGTCAAGGCAGGTTCCGTCAGCCCCAGGACTGAGCAGAGCCCCAGGAGAGATTCCACCCCCCAAGGGAGGTCAGGCTCTCCGCCTTCTTGGTCTCCCATCCCAGCTGCCCTGGAACAGGGTCCCATCAGCCCCCTCCCAGGACACCTCCCTTTGACTTCACACGGCCCCTGGCTCTCATCCCCTCTCTTCCCCCCACTTCCTTTCAGGAAAAGAAGGTCTATCCCCACGCTCCTTCCCGTCCCCCTTGAATCCCCCTGCCTGCAACTGCCTTCACCTGTACCGCCCTCCCCCCAGCCTCAGCCCAGGAAGCCACATCAGCAAACACAAGGAACTGCTCCGTCCTCCTTGCCACCCTGTGCGCCAGCCCCGCTGCCCACACTCCTGCCCTGGAGCTCCCCTCCCTGGCCCCACGCGGATGAGCTGGCTGTGCTCCCCGGGCCTCAGAGGTCACGTCTCACTCCTCCTCCTGACACAGAAGCCAAGGCCCGAGGAGCTGGGAGGCCAACCTGAGGTCTCTGACACATCCTTTCAGGGCCCCCAAGTAGAAGCCATCGCTGCCATGAGCATCTGCTCCTTTGGTGCGATGCCTATCTATGAAGTGGCAGAGGAACCCCGCTCAGAGAGGTTCAGCGACTTGCCCAAGGCCACACAGCAGGAAGGGGCGGAGCTGGGGTTCCCTCCTCTGCTCCTGGCCGAGAGGCTCGCCTGTCCTCACGGCTCTCTGTAACCCCACATTGCAAGTCCCAGCTGACCTCCCGGCGGAGCGCTCTGGGAAGGCCGGGACTGTCGCTGTGTCCCAGCGCCCAGCTGGCACCTGGCACAGGGGCTCCCCTACAAATGCCGATTTCCTAGTCAAGTCAGAAACGAGCACCACTTCCCACGCTCAGGGGGGCGGGGGGTTCTCCAACGCCCCCAGGAGCTTCTCCCTTGTTCCGTTGTCCCAGCCGACTAGGCGTCCTGAGGCCAGCTGCCTCCTGGCTTTCTGTCCCTCACCTGGGGCCACCCTCTATCCCACTCCCCTCCAGCCCCCACCCTGCACCACACCCAGGCTCAGAGGCACCCAGGCTGCTGTGCTTGCCCCGGAAGGCCACCCCACACTCCTCATCTTACTCCTCATCTCCCCCTGAGCTCCGCACAGCCCCCGTGTGGGCCCCTCTGCCCAGAGCCACCCCTGCCCGCCGAGCCGCACCCAGGAAGGCCGACGGGGACACGGTGCCATTGCTTCGCGCCACCATCACGCTGATGCCCGTCTCCACGAAGGGCACCGAGAAGTCCACGATCTCGGAGCGCTCCTCGTTGATGGTGAGGGAGCCGATGGCCATGTCCGCCCGCTTGTAGTACACCTGGGGCCATGGGGGCGGGGCTCCCACACTGGAGCTCTCTCCCCGCCTCCTCCCCCCTCCAGCACCACCAGCCCAGTCAGTTCCCCCCTTGGGCCCTCAGAGCTCCGCTTGCAGGGCTCACCACCCCAGGGGGCTTCGTGGGTGACAGCCCGGTCCCCCCTGCCAGCTGGGAGCCCCGAAGGAGCTGGGCCGGGCCCCTCCTCGAGGATCCCCAGCCCAGGAGGAAACCCCCTAGGACAACTGGGGTGCTGAGCAGGGGGTGGGGGGGGCCTGGGCAGCAGGACTGGCAGGCGGCTCAGGTGGACCCCGGGGCAGGCCTACCTCGCCGATCATGCCGTTCCACACGCCGCGCACCCTCTTGCCGTGCTTGCCATTGGTCACCAGGTACAGGTCGTAGGAGAACTTGACCACCTTGGCCAGCTTCTTGAGGATGTCGATGCAGAAGCCCTTGCAGCAGAGCTTGGTGTAGGGGGCTGTGTCCCCGCTGCTGCCACCGAGAGCGCCAGGAGTCAGCCGGCAGCCCCTCCCCGCCCGGCTCTCCACCCCAGCGCCTGCCATCCCACCGCAGCACATGCTCCCCGCCTCCCGCCAGTCCTCACCGACCTGAAGGTGTGGTTGCTCTGCCTTCGGCAGGGCACGGTGTTGGGCACACAGCCGCCGGTGCCAGGGTCCGGGCTCTCCACGATGACAAAGGGCCGCTCTTCCAGCGTGGCCACCGTCAGGTGCCGGCTGTCCACCACGGGCTGCAGGGACGCACTGTAGCGAGGCCACACTGGGTACTTCATGTGGAGGACGCCGTGGTCCCAGCGCCCCACCTGCAGAGGGTGACAGGCCTGAGCCGGGGACCTCCAGCCCTAGGACTCCCACCCTCTGTGAGGCCTCTGGGGGGGCTGCCAGGGCCTGAATCCCCGTCCCACACTGGAGATGCTTGTAGCAGGACAGAGCAGGGCCTGGGGCAGGACATTGCTGAACAGGAGGGTCAGGGCAAGGGGCTGAGCATGGGCCACAGGGAGGGCTCCCTGCAGCCTCCTCCCGCTCCGGTCCCCACGCTTTCCCGTCCAGCCTCCACACAGCTGCCAGCGCCCAGCACCTGCCTAGAGCCCACACCTGAGTCTGTCACTCATTTTCCTGACCTTAGCATAAAGCCCTTAACCCAGCACCCCACTCTTCTTCCTCATCACTTACAGACGCCCCACACCCTCCTGCTCCTGTGTCTATACCAGGTTAGTATCCCTTCCTGGTGGGCTCCTACTCACCCCTCCACAGCCCAGCCCCAATGTCCCAACTGCTGTGACGCCTTCCCCAGTTTCCTCCTTTAAAAGCAGAACTAATTCCTGCCTCTCTTCTCTACTCCCATAATGCTTTGCACGCATCTCTACTCAAGCCCCCATCTCCCCAAATTCTATTTGTTTACATGTCAGCCTGGCCAGCACAGCTGTGGGTTACTCCTCCCACAGGGGCAGGTCTATGTGATAAGGTAAGTTCTGCAGTGGAGGGGGGCTGGGGTGTGTGGGAGCCCAGAGCTGAGGGGCCTCACCCAACCTGGGGACCCCAAAGGCTTCCCGAGGAGATGTTTCAGCTGATACCTGGGGATGAGGGGCTGGATGAGGGACAGAAGGGACTCTCTGCTCAGATGTGGGCACAAGAGGGGGCGGGGACACGGTGAGAGGAAACAGAGGGCCCCGGGCTCACCCCCTTCTCACCATCTCCCAGAGGCGGTGCCGGTTGAGGGCAATCACCACCATGGTGGGCTGGACCAGGTACCCACCGGGGCTGAAGGAGAAGTCCCGGCCCTCCCAGGTGACATTCAGTAGGTGCCTGTAGGCGGGGGAGAAGCCGGGCATTCCCTTAGCCCTGCCTGCAGCCCCCCCACAACCCATCTGCCTCACCACCTGACAACAGGGAGCTTTTATTGTGGCTTCTGTTTCCCTGTATTGACGGCCACCATTCTCACCGCACCCTCACACCCCCCATCCTTTTTTTTTTTTTTAAGATAAGAAGCTAAGGCCCAGAGAAGTGAGGTAACTTGGTCCCAGGCACACAGCCAGGGAGAGGTGGAGCCAGCGAGACCAAGCTCACGGCAACCCAGGTCCCCTGAAGCGCGCACCCCCTGCCCTGGGCAGGTGCCCACCTGTGGAAGGCCTCC